GAACACGCTGGCGCTCCTTTGCCGTGTCGTTCTTCGCCTCGGAACGCAGGCGTTCACATGTCTCTTCGGCTGTCGCAAGAGCGCGGCGCAGCTCTTCCATCTTTTTAAGAGTTTGATCCCTCTCCTGTCGGGCACGCTGCAATTCACTGGCGTGGCTCTTGCACTTCTCGCGGAGCACACGTAGTTCCTCCTTCATACGGTTCTTCTCAGTGTCAAGCTGCTCATAGTTTTGCTCCTGATCACGCAGCTTCTGCCGCAGTCCCTGTGTTTCCCGCTGCGCCTCAGTAAGACGATCCGCCTCCTCGCGACGCAAACTACTTGAAAGTTGCTCATATCGAAGCAATGCATCGTCCCTCTGAAGCTGCAGGTTCGATAGCTCGCTATAGAGACGTTTCAGCTCCATTTCTTGAGCTTTTCGTGTCTGCACCTCCAAAAGCTCTGTAGTTGTGCGGAGGCTCGTGGCATAGCGACTACCTTTACTGCCTGCGTCCATACGAGCCAACTGCGCACGCAGTTTCTGCACCTCCATCTCTTGTGTATTCAACTGTGTGCGTAGTCCTTCCACCACCTCTCGGTGTTTCTCCTCCACAACACGTAGGTGAGCCACATGATTATCGGATGACTGGCGCAGTGCCTGTACCATTCTATGCCGTATTCGCTCCAACTCTTGAAGCTTGTCCTCGTTTTCTCTGCTTAACAGCTGAAGCTGGATGCGTTGCAACTCCCCAAGTTGCTGTGTCTCCTCTTTTTCATTTTCGATTGTCTTGAGTCGACTCTGTGTCTGTTTTGCCTCCTCCCCTAATGTGACGGTGTCCCGCTGAAAATGCGCCACATCGCCTTGTGCCATGTTCAGCTCTCGCTTCAACTGATCCACTTCTCGTTTTAGAGCGGCCTCCGCGTCAAGTGAGCGGGCCAACTGCTGTCGCACCAGTGCAGCTTCACGCTCAACCTCGTGTTTCGCGTTTTCCAGGCTGTTGTGTTCTTCTTGTGCCTGCATGCGTAGCTCCTTCAATTGTGCCTCCGCCATGCGAACGGCCTCACGTGTCTCCTCCAGCTCGCCGTTGGCCGCCTGAAGCATCAATTTCAACTTGTCCACCTCCCGCTGCAGTTTTTCATT